CTGTCACTGTGTGGTTTGTGCCGGCCGTGATGTTCTTTTATTTTTACCTCGAACTCCTTAACTACCGCTGCGGTCCAGAAGTCACCCGAACTCATGGGTCAAAAAATTACTCAAGTGTGAGATATCTCTGGGGTATGAGAAGTGGAATTTTTCCACTTTCACATTTTTTGGCTTGTGTTTTGCTCAGTATTTGAGCTAGTACATCTTCCGATGCGAGATCGGGGGCAAGCCGAGAAACAAATATTGTTTTTAGTGGTGGAATAGCGGTGATGGTCTTTGGTAACACAGCATTACCGACTTCTACTAGTTTTTTATTTTTGCCCTTTGGGATAGCTGAGATTTTTTTAAGTCTGCGGTGTCAAGAGATTGAGACTCCGCAGCGGACTCTTCTCATAACACTGGCGGATCTGATGCCATTACTCTTTGGCACCTTCGAATGCCGAATCCCCAGCCGTTCCCCGATCTTAACACCGTCGGAGTTGAGGGTAACCAGTGTCGAGGGGGCTGTGCCGTGAAGGTGTGCCAAATCTTTGGTGACTGGGGTTCGCCCAGCTTTTTTTTTACCTGCTTTGAATTTTTGCGCTTTGGTGACTCGCTTAACGCAGCTTCATGCCGCTAAATTGAGCGTCCAGCGCTGAACGAATCATTTGTCTTGCTTTACTTTGGTTCAGAACCTGATCAATGTTTGTTTTTAGAATGCCTAATCGATTCTGGGAGTCCAATTAGTTTCATTAAGATGTCATATGTGGAAAACATACTAGAAAAGCAAAATATCAAGTCAAACTAAAAGATTCTCCCAAATTACGCTTGGCTTAAATGGTAGCCCCTTAGATATAATCGGAAAAATATCATGTTTTGTTATTATCAATAAAGAAATGTTTAATTTTGAGTTACTAATTGTGGCGATGGCATATGGAACAGTTTGGGACGAGATTTCATGAGCATTTGTAACTTTAAGATTGTGAGGGAAAATGATTGTTCAAATGATAGTTATGCGAAAAATGATTGTTCAAATGATAGTTATGCGAAAATGATAGTTCAAATAATAGTTATTCGAAAAATGATAGTTCAAATGATAGTTATGCGAAAAATGATTGTTCAAATGATAGATACGCGGAAAATTGTTGTTCAAATAGTAGTTTTTCCGAGAATGATCGTTTAACTGAAAAAAATCAAAAAATTATCGTTCAAATTATAGAAATTTAGAAAATGGTTGTTTAAATAATAGAAGTGGTAAAGACGATAGGTCAAAAAGTAACGATAACAAATTTAAGGATACAAATAATGTCAAGTTGATACAAAAATACAGTAAAGTCACATTATGATGAACAAAGTCGTGAAAATGAAAGCAAAATTAATAATCAATATGATAACAGCTTTGAATCAGAAATATTATTAATAGAATATCCCGAGGCAACTGAATGCAGCCAGCTGAACATAAATGAGAATTGCGAAAAAAATTTAAGAAGCAGACTGATAACTATTTTTGAACAATTTTATGTAAAAGCGAAACGTCCAGTACTCCCGTCAATAAAATGGGAAATGAAACTTAATTTTGAAAAAAACTAAACCGTTCAACTACCCTCCGAGACGTCTATCGTTTGCGGAGAAAAGTCAAGTTCAAGATTTGTTAGACGATTATATGAAAGATGGTATTATACGTGCAAGCGAGTCAGAATATGCATCACCAATTGTTCTAGTTAAGAAAAAGTCAGGGAGTTAAGAATGTGCGTTGACTATCGCACACTTAACAAAAATATGCTAAAAGACAACTACCCCACCCCTCTCATAGACGATCTAATTGATAAACTTTCTGAAAAAGTCCTTTTTACGAAGCTAGATCTTAGAAACGGATTCTTTCACGTGCACATGCATGAGGATTCGGTCAAATACACCGCGTTCACTATGCCAATGGGACAATACGAATGGCTTAGAATGCCGTTCGGGCTAAGAAACGCCCCCGCAGTCTTTCAAAGATTCGTAAATAGAATTTTTGCTGATTTGGTTAGAGAGGACAAAGTTCTCATTTACATGGACGATATTTTGATAGCAACAAAAGATAGTAAGAGTCATTTAGAAATATTAACAGAGGTGTTTAAGCGATTAGTAGATAACAAGCTAGAGCTAAGAATAGACAAATGTGAATTCCTTCTGTGACGATGTCACAATCCCCTATATGTAAATATTGTATATATTAGTTAAGGTCATAGCTAAGTTAGCAAGTGAGTTAGGGATTAGCCACCCACCCACACACACAACTGTACATTTAACGGGCATGAAGCCCACAGTTAATTTGCCCAGGAAGGGCCAAATTAGATTTAGGCCGCAACGCACAGGCGTATACATTTTGTCAACACGGACTGTAGCGACCGCGCTGAAGCCATTTCCCCTCTCCGCTGCCGACGCGAACGGCGGCAGAGGCAGCGACATTTCCCCTCCAACGATCGTGCGTGTTTATGTTTTGGTCGTGCTTATTTACATGCCGATCAAAACATAAACAATAACAAAACAAAGCCGGCGGCCGAAAGCTGCGCTGCCCGGACATTCTTGGCAGAGACGAGGCGACAAGGGCTTTGCAAGCTGCGACCGCGATCACTTCTCTGGCGACAGCAAGCGTGAACAATTGACATCAGGCTCCGCGACTCGCGATTATCAAAACCGACAGCTAAGTAGAGCTAAGTCCAAAAGGACCCGCGTGTGTCGAATTACATCCTGGTTGCTAACATCAGGTGAGCCGGCCGAGTGCCATGTAAGGGGCAGGTGATTGGAGTGTGGCGTAGGGCCAGGTTAGGGCCGACAGGCGCACTTTAGAAAAATGGAGCCATCATAATTAAGCAATAAAATAAAGTAACAAAATGAATTCAGAAATTCCATCGTCTTTCTCTCTCGCACCCGCATAGAATTCCGCGAAGTAACTTAACCTCATTCTGACGCGTGCCAAAGTGTTCCCCTCCCGCTCACTCACTCGCCGAGCTGGTGGCTGGGTTTTCCCGCACCAACTCCGCGTGGCCGCTGGGCAAGCTCCGGGGCCGGAGAAGCGGGACGGGAGCGGGATTTGTCGCCGCTGGGTTCTCCCGGGCACAGATCTGGCGTGGGCATCGGGGCTGCTGGGTTTTTCCCGAGCTACGAGTTCATCGCCGCCGGCACGTGTTCACAGATTTCCCCCTCTCCCTCTCCTTTCCCCTTCCGATCTGCATTTTGCCCGCCATAGCCGCTGGGTTATCCCGGGCGGCGGAGATTTTGCCGATCGGAAGAGTCGCCGCTGCTGGGCAACCGGGCAGGGCGCCGGAAACGGAGGAGCACCTGGCCATCGCCAGGGTGATCGCGCGTTTGTAGGTTTCCCTTCCCCCTCTCCCTTTCCCTTTCGATCTGCATTTTGCCCGCCCTCGCCGCTGGGTCATCCCGGGCGGCGGAGATTTTGCCGATCGAAAGAGTCGCCGTTGCTGGGCAACCGAGCGAGCGCTGGAAACGGAGGAGCACCTGGCCATCGCCAGGGTGACCGTCCAAGATTCCCATCTTTCCCGAAGCCAGAGTTCCCCTTTGAAAACGAGCCCCTTTTCGCCGCCATTTTGCCTAGAAAATTCATTAAAAATTCGGCGTCCATGTCCTGGCCGTCTCTAAAAATATAAATATTTCTGGAGAGGAATCCTGGGCCGCTGAGGTTTACCCCGGCCTAAGACACATCCTTACAGATGGCGCCCGAGCAGGGACCGGTCAGGACAGCTAGGATAATTTTTTTCAGTGGATTAAAGCCCACTGGCCGAAAACCAGAATTTTTTTAGTAGAAAAAAATATAATATAATTTTTTCGCGAAGGCAAAAGCAGAGAAAGTTAGTTTTCCTAAAGGACGGGGATAGAAAATTTAATCAGGAAATATATTATATAAACATATTTTTCGATCAGCGCACATTCGTTTTTGCGAGTGTAAGAAATTTTCGTCCCACGTGTCGCGACGTACGGTCGCCGGCAAAAATCTGCAAAAAGTACAGGAGGAAAGGGGAATAGAAAAAAACGCGTGGTAAATTTCCATTGGCGCATACGCATCGTCGCCAAAACAAGCGGTACAGTTACACCAGATTTCGTAGTCAAGTCACTGCCAGCGTCAACGCCGGCAGAGGGACGCTTCGCGCAAGCACACACACACGTGGCCCATACACATCTCCAGTTCTGCTCTGCCCGCGGCAGCAGCGTCGGCTAGTTTAAGCATCAATATATACAGGGAACCCTCGCTAGGAGGGACACACTTCGGAAGATAAGCTCATAGAATACGCATCGCAGAACCACCTCGTTGAACCCCCTTGAAATCAACTCGTCGCACGCATCGTCGTATCCTTGCACACACCGGGAAGTCTTTCAATATCCTTCAACCACGTCGAGGACACCCGCGAACCCTCAAAGAATCCTACCGCCGAGAACATAATAAAAATTATAAAAATAATAAGGATTCAAATAAATAAATAATCCAAATCATAACCCGAAATAATAAAAAATTAAATAAGCCAAAATATAATAAAAATTAAATAAACCCAAATATAACAATAAATTAAATAAATTCAGATGAAATAAACCAATAACAAAATAAATCCAGGAATAATTTTATTTGAATAAAATAAAATAAACGAATAAATAATAATCGATCGCCGAAAATACTGGAAACGAGTAAAAAATACCGATTATAATAAATCGAAATCGAATAAATAAACTATCGATAAATCAAAATAATAATATACAAATAAATAAGGATAAATAAATACTAACGAATAAACAATAAGATTGGAATAAATATAATAAAAACACCAATAAGAAATAATAAAGAAAATTCTGTGATCCTGCGAGATCCAAATCAAGGGTATACGTGCACACAGTGCGGATCCTGCGAGATCCATTCCAAGCACACTCGCGATATAGAATCCAGTCGTTGCCACCGGTATCCTGCCGTTTTCATTCTCTCGAGACCCGTTGTTATTTCTGATCCTTTTTCCCCGCGAATCCTGCGAACCATGGGCGTCACGTGGATAAGCTACCGCAAAAAGATGGAATTAGAAACCATCCTCGGCGAGTTCGGACTCGACCGAAGCGGCACGGTAGATAAGCAACGTGCGCGGCTCATAGCATTCTCGCGGCAGCCTAACAATTCCGAGGAAATCCAGGATCGACTCGACGAACTGGAACGCCGGTTCGGGAACGCGCCCACCGGCGACGTCAAGTCACCCATACCACTGGATCCGTCTCTCATCTCTCCGGAGCCGACCACGTCGGCATCGCTAGTGCCACCCTCACTCCTTTTACCACGCAGTACGTCACCCCTCTACAGGGCGACGCTCGAAGGCGGAAGAGCCTGCGCGATCTGCGCACTCCCCGAGTGAAGCCGGCTTGGGAGCAATCCTAATCGATCGGATGACCAAGTGGGGCCTTTCGTTCGATGGAACGACGGATCCTCTGGGATTCATAGAGCACATCGAGGAGCGTGCCGATACCTGCCGGATCGACCGGAGATATCTGGCCCAAGCCCTGGTGGTGCTGCTGGCCGGCCGAGCCGAAAGTTGGTTCCGCACGAGCGGACTCCAACAAGCCAGCTGGATCGAGGTCCGCCGGGAGTTCCTTGACTTCTTCTTGCCACCGCGATACTATCAGCGGTTGGAGGATGACATTAGGATGCATTTCCAGAAGCCCAACGAACCATTTAAGGAGTACCTTATCGACATCCGTTTGCAGATGCGCCGGGCCGGATTCTCTTCTGACAGGGAGCTGGAGAGGATCTATGAAAATATGCTGCCGGAGTATCAACTCTACACCCGGAGGCAGGATTTCCGTACGCTGAGCGAGCTAACACACCTCGTGACCAATTACGAGGAGACACGCAGCCGAGGCGGAAGAGCGCTCGAGAACCGGATCCCGACTCAACGCCAGGCCACAGGAGCCAGCTACGCAGCAGACGGGGACAGGATGCCCACTCGACGCACACAACAGGCGCCCTCTTCAGGCAACGCCCTCAACGGTTCCCTTAGCCGGAACGCTTGCACCAGCCAGAGCGCGGTGGCACCACGACCAGAAGCCGTCAACGTTCGCGACGCCTGCCGGAATTGTGGCCAATCGGGACATTTCGAAGCCGAATGCAGGAATCCACGGATCCTATTCTGTTGGGATTGCGGCCAACGAGGACGCAGGACGGTTGACTGTTGCCGACAGCCACCGTCGGGAAACGGGCAAGGGCCTCGTGTGACCGGGAATCACCCGAGGAACCCTCCGCATCCCCAGAAGCCAATAGGAGACACTCTCCATCAGTACCAGGGACGCATCCGCGCTACCATCCACATGGAGGGACAGCGGTTCACAGCTACCCTGGACACCGGAGCCACCCACAGCTTTATTAGCGAAGGGCTGGCTCAAATGCTGGACAACGGAAGGAACACACGGGACATCCGTACCCAGGTAAAACTCGCTGACGGAACATGCCGCGAGCTGACCAGAGCTCTGGCGGCAAACATCTACCTCGGAAGCGAACGGACGCCCACCATTCTCCTCGTGATGTCGGACGCACTGGACGACATCCTCCTAGGAATGGACTTTCTCTGTGGAATCGGAGCAACCCTGCTCTGCGGCGGGCAGACCCTCCGACTGCGACCGGACGACCAGCGAAGACCAACAACAGAGCCACGCTCTGACCAGCGGAGACCAATAACAGAGCCACGCTCTGAACAGCGAAGGGAGCCACGCTCCAACCCACGGGACCAGCCCGCAGAGCCACGCTCTGACCAACGAAGAACATCGCCGGAGTCACACTCCAACCTCGACGAAGAGCCATCCACGGCACATCACTCAGAGCCACGCTCTGAGCAACGAAGCACGGCACCGGAGTCACACTCCACTCATGCCGAGAAGCCATCGACGACAGCCCAAGGAGAGCCACGCTCTACCCATCGAAGGCAGCCAAGGGAGCCATGCTCCAATCCCGAAGACCAGCCAAGCACCTCACCTCGAGCACAGTCTCGAGACACAACACCACCAGCGACGGAGAACCAGCCGCCCAGTTGGAGACAGGCTTTGCCCGTGGCAGATGCCACAGCCGCGCAACGGAATCCCTTCCGTACCTCCCACAAAAACGTGTCCGCTTCCAGGATCACGTCGAGGAAACGCCGGAGCCAAGCCCGCCCCTATGCGGAACCGTCAATTCGGTGAGTCATCCCACAGAGGATCAGGTCTCTTTCCAGACTGAGGAGCCCGAGACGCAGGATTACCCCCGAGCCTTGGGTGAAGGAGGTTTCTGGACCAGGAACTGGCGAAATTTGATACTCTTTCAGGGGTATCACACATCGCAGAGCATCGCATCTTCATGCGCACGGATCGACCCCTTAAACAGCGGTACTTTCCTAGGAATCCAGCCATGAGGGCCGTCATTGATAAGCAGATCAATGAACTCCTCCGAGACGGACGCATTGAACCTTCCAAAAGCCCACACAGCGCGCCCATCGTAATCGCGGCCAAGAAGAATGGCGAAGTCCGCATGTGCGTGGACTACCGCCAGCTCAATGAGAACTCCGTGCCAGACGCGTATCCGCTTCCGAGGATCCATCAGATCTTGGAGCGACTCCGCAACGCGAAATTCATCTCGACGTTGGACCTCAAAAATGGGTATTGGCAAATCCCAGTGGCCCCGGACAGCCGGGAGTGCACGGCGTTTACCGTTCCCGGAAGAGGGTTGTTCCATTGGAGAGTCATGCCTTTCGGACTCCACTCCGCGCCCGCCACGTTTCAACGCGCCTTAGACACGGTCATCGGTCCAGATATGGAACCCCATGCGTTTGCATATCTGGATGACATCATTGTCATCGGCTCCACACTGGAGGAGCATGTCGCCAATCTCGGAGAAGTCTTCAGACGCCTCCGCCGCGCAAACCTGCGCCTCAACCGAGGGAAGTGTCATTTCTTCCAGCGCCGCATCGTGTACTTGGGGCACGTGATCAGCGAAGCCGGAATCCACACGGATCCGGACAAGGTCGCTGCGATCCGAGGGACTCGCACCGCCGACAAACCTGAAGGAGCTACGCAGATGCCTGGGAATCGCTTCCTGGTATCGCCGCTTCGTGCCGAACTTCGCCGATGTTGTGGCACCCATGACATCGCTGCTGAAGAAGGGCCACAAATGGGAGTGGACCCAAAAGACAAGACCAGGCCTTCCAGGAACTGAAGACGCTGCTGACCGAAGCCCCTATTCTGGCTTGCCCAGATTTTGCAGAGAAGTTTGTGCTACAAACTGACGCCAGTGACTACGGAATCGGAGCCGTACTCACGCAGACCATCGATGGAAACGAGAGGGTGATAGCATACGCCAGCCGCCGGCTCAACACTGCTGAGAGGAACTACTCAGTGACTGAGAAGGAGTGTCTCGCCATCGTCTGGGCGATTCGGAAGATGCGGTGTTACATCGAGGGATACCGCTTCGAAGTCCTCACAGACCACCACCCTTGAAGTGGTTGAACTCCATCGACAATCCAACAGGCAGGATTGCTCGTTGGGCACTGGAATTACAGCAGTATCAATACGACGTCCATTACCGGAAGGGGGCCCAGAACTTGGTGGCCGATGCCCTTTCTCGCCAACCGCTGCCCATAGTGCAGCAAGCGGAGGTACAAGGAGTCAACTGTAAGTGGATCACGAGGATGCTCCAGAGGATTCGGACCGAACCGGCAAAGTTTCCGGATTATCGAGAGGAGAATGGCCAGCTATATCGTCGCCTTGGACTCCGACCTGAGGAGGAGGAGTACACGCCCTGGAAACTTTGCGTAGGGGCAGACTATCGCCAGCGAGTACTCGAAGAGTGCCACGATCACCCCACTGCCGGTCATCTAGGAGTCCGGAAAACCAGCACTCGCGTGGCCCAGCGCTATTAATGGCCTGGATTGTTTCGCGAGGTGGCTCGGTACAGTTCGCCGTTGCCCCACTTGCCAGCGATATAAGGTGAGCCAAGAAAAAGCCCGCAGGTCAAATGTTTACTCGACAGGTCGAGGAGCCGTTCCACATCCTTTGTGCAGATTTCGTCGGCCCACTGCCGCGGTCGAAACAGGGCAACACGATGCTGCTAGTATTCCTGGACGCCTTCAGCAAGTGGGTGGAGCTAGTGCCGCTTCGAAAGCTACCGCCACACATCTGGAACGAGCCTTCAGAGAGCGGATATTAAGCCGATTCGGTGTTCCCCGAACATTTGTCTGCGACAACGGTACGCAGTTCACCGGCCGCTCATTCCAGAAGTTCTGCCAGTCGCTAGGGATGGAGCTGCAGCACACGGCGCCCTACACCCCGAGACAGAATCCAACGGAACGGGCAAATCGGACGATCAAGACGATGATCGCCCAATACTTAGATGGAGGCCAACAAAACGAGTGGGATCAACTCCTCCCGGAGATATCTTTTGGCCATAAATAGTAGTGTCTCGGACACTACTGGATTCAGCCCCGCATTCTTGGTACAAGGCCGAGAACCGCGACTCCCGAAGACGCTGTACGACGAAGTTACCCCGGACGGGGCACCCCAGAGATTTCCCCGACAGAGCGAAGCGAACAACTCCGGAACATTTTCGCCGTTGTCCGGAACAACGCTGACCGCGCCGCCGCCGAGCAGAGCCGGCACTACAACCTGCGCCGGAGGACATGGAGACCACCAGTTGGATCCATGGTACTGGTACGCCGACACGCCTTATCCAACGCGGCCGAGGGCTTTGCCGCGAAGTTAGCAGCGAAGTACGAAGGACCCTTCAGGGTAGCGAAGTTCCCATCGCCGAACATCGTGCAACTGCACATACCAGGAAGCCGACGCCGGCGGACCGCCAGCCTGAATCAGCTGAAGCCGTACCACCACGAGGATGAGGAAGACACCGAAGCCGGAACCCACCGGGAAGACGCCGACGCCGGAGATGCCACAATCGAGGATGCCGACGACACCATTCTGGACGCACAGCCAGCTACCAAGACCGCACGACGCAGGGGACCCATCCCGCGCCGCCAACACTAGCGACGAGCACCCATGCAGGGAGGGCGACCATGTTTCACAGGGGCCACTTGTTGACAGGCGCGCCTGTCCAACGTCCCGAACCCCCTAGTGGGGTGAACATGCGTCTCTTCCCCAAAAAGCCGTAGCCATAGCCAGTCAACCCTAGCCCACTCCATTAGGTAGGGCCTAGGGAAACACACTAATACACCTCTCCTCTGTCCTTACAGCAACAGTCTCCAGTCCGCCTACCGAGAGGCGTAACGAGCCACGCGCCCGCAGGCAACGCCCACCTGACCACCGGCATCTTTCCAGAGCCACGACCACGTCTTCACCAGACCGCCGTCGCCACACAAAAACGTCGACCAGCCCAAGAATGGACGGACAGGGCCATCCACCACAGGACTACTCCTGGATGTGCGTTGCAGTTGATGAGATCCTGCAGACACTCAAGGCGCCGGGCCAAGCCCGCCGCGTCCTCACGACAGCCCCGTCGCCAATAACGCCGGCCTCTTCCCACGGGCCCCAACCGCCGACGTCACCAGCGCCGCCGACAACGGGAGGCGACGACCGCCGACAACCACGCCGGGCCCCGTCGGCCCCCTACAGAGGAGATGTCGCTCCTGTTCGCCGGCCTCGTTGGGCCACGCCGAGTCCCTCCGGAAATTGTCCTCAGCGACGATGACGAAGAGGAGACCCACCAGCACGACGTCGCTGGGCCCCAACCAGCATCCTTAAGGCAGCATCCGGCCACATCGGGCCCGCTGGCGCCCCCTCCGGAAGTTGCCCCGCTCGACGGCAATGACGAGGAGGAGGTGCCACGAGATCACCGTTTTGGACCCCTGCGGGTCAACCTCACGCCGCCCCGGCCACGCGATACCTCACCCGGAGATCAGGCACCCTCCGCCGACGCCGAGGAGGCATGGAACCAGGCCATCGCCCTGTCCGACGATTGGGTCGATTTCGACGGCCTGGTGGAGGACACCCTTGGCGACCTTTTCGACAGCCCGCCGCACACGGAACCGCCGGCAACAGGCGCGCTCGGGCCTCTGGGCGCAGTCTATGACCCGGTCTCCGACGACGAGGGCCGCCCGCGTGGTCACTACAACCCCACCAGCGACGGCGGCGACGACAGCGACGCGACCGTATTGTATGACCCCACCGCGGAGGACAGCCGGGACATACGGAGGAGGCGCACCACACCACCGCACCCGAGCGACAACCGGGCCCCGCCGTACATGGGCGAGGTGGAAGCCGCCCTGGTAGAGTGTTTCGGGGAAATGCCCGGGGACGACTTCAACTGGGGAAGCGGCACTAACACGGCGTCTACCATCTCGGCCGACGAGGACGAGGGAGGGCCGCCCGTCAGACGCCTCGCGACCACCTTCCGCCGGGCCCGCCGATGACGCCTCAACGTCGACAGTCTCGGCCGACGAAGACGAGACCAGTCAGGACAGTGGCTGGTCCTACGCCCCACGATCGCCGCCCCCACGCTGGACTCCACCCAGCACTACGCCGCTGCAAAGCTGGGCACCAGCCGCTCCCAGTCGCAGCCGACCCCCTCCGCCCTCCTACGAGGAGATTTTCGGCCGATGCGCAGCGGTGGCCGCCAGTCGCGATCCGCGACCCCGCCTGCCCACCGGCGCGGAGCTGGCCGCAGAAGAGGCGCGCCGCAGGGCGGAAGACCTCAGTGAGGAGCTCGGCAACCCACCGGTTGCCCAACCGCCGGCAAATGGCCCACCACCCTCACCGACCCCACGCCGCAGAGCACGGCGCAGGAGCGCCCCATGGGCAGACAGCCCATCTAGCTCGTCTGACGAGTCATCGTTGGACGCCGACGAGGGAGCCCGCAACCCTCCCCGCTGGGTACCGGCCCCAGTGGAGTGGACCACTCCGAACGGCACCTTACCGGCAGCTCTACTCCGCCGAATCCACGGGCGCCTGGCGACACCGCGAAGGCGAACAATACGGATCCTGGAGGAGGAGGGGAGCCAACGCTTCAGGGTCCAAATTAACCGCAGCGGGAGGGTGATCATCACTCTTCACCCCTCCCGAAGATAGGGTGGAATGTGACGATGTCACAATCCCCTATATGTAAATATTGTATATATTAGTTAAGGTCATAGCTAAGTTAGCAAGTGAGTTAGGATTAGCCACCCACCCACACACACAACTGTACATTTAACGGGCATGAAGCCCACAGTTAATTTGCCCAGGAAGGGCCAAATTAGATTTAGGCCGCAACGCACAGGCGTATACATTTTGTCAACACGGACTGTAGCGACCGCGCTGAAGCCATTTCCCTCTCCGCTGCCGACGCGAACGGCGGCAGAGGCAGCGACATTTCCCCTCCAACGATCGTGCGTGTTTATGTTTTGGTCGTGCTTATTTACATGCCGATCAAAACATAAACAATAACAAAAACAAAGCCGGCGGCCGAAAAGCTGCGCTGCCCGGACATTCTTGGCAGAGACGAGGCGACAAGGGCTTTGCAAGCTGCGACCGCGATCACTTCTCTGGCGACAGCAAGCGTGAACAATTGACATCAGGCTCCGCGACTCGCGATTATCAAAACCGACAGCTAAGTAGAGCTAAGTCCAAAAGGACCCGCGTGTGTCGAATTACATCCTGGTTGCTAACATCAGGTGAGCCGGCCGAGTGCCATGTAAGGGCAGGTGATTGGAGTGTGGCGTAGGGCCAGGTTAGGGCCGACAGGCGCACTTTAGAAAAATGGAGCCATCATAATTAAGCAATAAAATAAAGTAACAAAATGAATTCAGAAATTCCATCGTCTTTCTCTCTCGCACCCGCATAGAATTCCGCGAAGTAACTTAACCTCATTCTGACGCGTGCCAAAGTGTTCCCCTCCCGCTCACTCACTCGCCGAGCTGGTGGCTGGGTTTTCCGCACCAACTCCGCGTGGCCGCTGGGCAAGCTCCGGGCCGGAGAAGCGGGACGGGAGCGGGATTTGTCGCCGCTGGGTTCCTCCCGGGCACAGATCTGGCGTGGGCATCGGGGCTGCTGGGTTTTTCCCGAGCTACGAGTTCATCGCCGCCGGCACGTGTTCACAGATTTCCCCTTCTTCCCTCTCCTTTCCCCCTTCCGATCTGCATTTTGCCCGCCATAGCCGCTGGGTTATCCCGGGCGGCGGAGATTTTGCCGATCGGAAGAGTCGCCGCTGCTGGGCAACCGGGCAGGCGCCGGAAACGGGAGGAGCACCTGGCCATCGCCAGGGTGATCGCGCGTTTGTAGGTTTCCCCTTCCCCCTCTCCTTTCCCTTTCGATTTGCATTTTGCCCGCCCTCGCCGCTGGGTCATCCCGGGCGGCGGAGATTTTGCCGATCGAAAGAGTCGCCGTTGCTGGGCAACCGAGCGAGCGCTGGAAACGGAGGAGCACCTGGCCATCGCCAGGGTGACCGTCCAAGATTCCCATCTTTCCCGAAGCCAGAGTTCCCCTTTGAAAACGAGCCCCTTTTCGCCGCCATTTTGCCTAGAAAAATTCATTAAAAATTCGGCGTCCATGTCCTGGCCGTCTCTAAAAATATAAATATAAATAGGAGGCATGGAACCAGGCCATCGCCCTGTCCGACGATTGGGTCGATTTCGACGGCCTGGTGGAGGACACCCCTGGCGACCTTTTTCGACAGCCCGCCGCACACGGAACCGCCGGCAACAGGCGCGCTCGGGCCTCTGGGCGCAGTCTATGACCCGGTCTCCGACGACGAGGGCCGCCCGCGTGGTCACTACAACCCCACCAGCGACGGCGGCGACGACAGCGACGCGACCGTATTGTAGGTGACCCCACCGCGGAGGACAGCCGGGACATACGGAGGAGGCGCACCACACCACCGCACCCGAGCGACAGCCGGGCCCCGCCGTACATGGGCGAGGTGGAAGCCGCCCTGGTA